CCTCGCACAACTGAAAACCTCAAAGGTTTTTCAAAGCAAGCCATGAACTCAAACAAACCAGACCCACACTTATCCTACACAGAATGAGGTGCCACTTGACATGAAGTACCCACAGCTCCATCATGGTATTATTGTTATTGTTAGTATTATTGAAGAAAAGTGAATAGCTTTTCTTTATTTGAAGCAGTATCAGGCTTCCTTTGAAGCAATCCCTCTCTTCCCAGGCACAAATCTGGAGACAGGCAACTATGCCATAAGTGAAGTTTTGACATGGACTCTGTCTGCCCTGCCACTCCAATTATTCTGAGAAAATTCAAATATTCTTTTAAGCTCTTTCCGCATGCTACACAACATCCTGCTCTGTTCAATATCTATTCATATTTAGGGGAAGAGAAAAAAAATCATAGGACAATGAAGTTTTGAAATTATTTTAAGCAAATACATCTTGTTACAGTTTACACTCAAGTGCATTGCTGGCCAGTCAAACCCAGTAACTACTAGCATCTCTCACTGAGAAAGAATTTATCTGCTGGTTTTGCTGGGCACAAAGGAACACTCAAATGAAAGGCACTGATGTAACCAGCTGGCATGCCAGCTACCAARAGCATCCTTCAAGTTGTTTGAATTCAGAATTGGAAAAATACTTATTTCCAAACAAATGCATTTGTACTCAGAAGTAAATCTTTACATAGCACAGACACTTTTTAACCTCCTGACTTTCATGATCTGCAATTCAGCTTATATTTCAAAAAATCTTGCTGACATTACTTAAATACTTAACAAGGACTGAATAGATTAAGCTTGAACTCAGTTTTACAGAGTGACTCTTATCTTCAGTTGCTCTCTCTGCTACTCAGAGAAGCAGATAGGCACATTTTTCAGACAAATTTGCAACATATTTGCCTTTCAGTGGGCATAACATTTTAAATGAAATTGTAGTTCAATTAAATGTGAGGCAGTCCCATTCTTCTAATTTCATTTTGTGCCATGGCAGGACATCTTTAACAAAGCTTGAGCCATCATTCAATTCACTGGGAACGAGGTATTTCATGGTCCATGTTTCTAAAGGAAAAATTGCAARCCGAGATTATGCTCAGTTTGTGCAGTGCTCTTGCTGGCTGAATACTCGCCACAGTGATAGCATCTCCTGTGCAGTCACTTGCTAGAACCGTACACCTAATGCTGAGGCTGGATGGAACCATTTGGTTGGTGGGSTGACAAGGAAGATGAGAAAACCAAAGAGGGAAGTGTTGACTTCACAACACAGAGAGCTCACTCCAGTGCTCGAAGAAGCATGATGCTCTTTAACTTCTTTGTGGAAGATTCAAAAATGCATTTCCAGCTGACACCATCCATAAAACTTTAAAGTAAAAGGAAACCACAGCTTGAAAACAAACCGAACCAGCTTCTCCATGAAGGTTGGATTCACACTTGTGTTGTGGTTTGAAYTGTGCTGAAAGCCAAGAAGCACTGCACCCACGACRTTCTCTCCTTTCCCCCACCRGAGAGGACAGAAGGGAGAGCAAAAGCCCAATTAACATGAAAATTTATGGCTTTCAGATAACATRACATAATTGAGAGAAAGATACGCATATGCTCCAGAGAATGGTCAGACAGGCTGAATAACTTAAGTTGCAAAATAGATTTATTACTAAAAATTACTAAGAATACTAC